GGAAAACCACCTCTCCGACGTGCAGAAACAGCAGAGCCACAGTCCAGGTCTCTGCACACAGCAGCTAACTCCTCTTCGGTCCAGACTGCTCTCTCCTTCTCCACTCGTCTCCACTCTCCGCTGTATCTGAGCTCCACTGTCCCGGCGCAGCGACTGGCCCCTCCCACCAGCCTGAGCGGCTCTGAGCAACACAACAACTCTTAGGACACACAAACATCACACACACATTTGAGAAAACTGGATTGGACACAATAGCAGACGCACAAGCGAGACACACAAACATGACAACATTTGGTTTGATTATAGAGCAACGGACAATACATTTATCTACACACAGACACACACACACAGACACACGCACACAGACACACACACATAGGAAGGATCACAGGTACAGGGCTATGAGAGGTAGTATCACAGGTACAGGACGTGAAAAGATAGGATCACAGGTACAGGACGTAAAGAGGTGGGATCACAGGTACAGGACATAAAGTGGTAGTATCACAGGTACAGGACGTAAAGAGGTGGGATCACAGGTACAGGACGTAAAGAGGTAGGATCACAGGTACAGGACGTAAAGAGGTAGGATCACAGGTACAGGACGTAAAGAGGTGGGATCACAGGTACAGGACGTAAAGAGGTAGGATCACAGGTACAGGACGTAAAGAGGTAGGATCACAGGTACAGGACGTAAAGAGGTAGGATCACAGGTACAGGACGTAAAGAGGTAGGATCACAGGTACAGGACGTAAAGAGGTAGGATCACAGGTACAGGACGTAAAGAGGTAGGATCACAGGTACAGGACGTAAAGAGGTGGGATCACAGGTACAGGACGTAAAGAGGTAGGATCACAGGTACAGGACGTAAAGAGGTAGGATCACAGGTACAGGACGTAAAGAGGTAGGATCACAGGTACAGGACGTAAAGTGGTAGTATCACAGGTACAGGACGTAAAGTGGTGGGATCATAGGTACAGGACGTAAAGAGGTAGGATCACAGGTACAGGACGTGAAGAGGTAGGATCACAGGTACAGGGCTATGAGCGGTAGTATCGCAGGTACAGGACGTAAAGAGGTAGTATCACAGGTACAGGATGTAAAGGAGTAGTATCACAGGTACAGGACGTCAAGGGGTAGTATCACAGGTACAGGACGTAAACAGTACAGGGCTATGAGAGGTAGTATCACAGGTACATGACGTAAACTGCACAGGGCTGTGACAGGCAGTATCACAGGTACAGGACGTGAAGAGGTAGGATCACAGGTGCAGGATGTAAACAGCACAGGGCTATGACAGGTAGTATCACAGGTACAGGATGTAAACAGCACAGGGCTATGACAGGTAGTATCACAGGTACAGGATGTAAGTAAGTATTAGGCCGTCAGCTGAGTCCAAATATGTGGCTAGAAATCCATTTTTGTTGCAGCAACTTGGGCACAACTTTTTGAGACTAGGTACAGCTTCAGTGTGTCTGATCTTGTCCAAAAGTTCTCTGTTCAATACCCTGCAGTTATTTCACAGTTCCAAATCTTACACAGGACTATTTCTCGAAGAAGGTTGTGAACCGTCAGTGCTCAGCCAATAGGAGAGGAGCATTATCGAGCAGGTGAGGGCCAATCACTACGCAGTATGTAAACAAACAGGGCGTGCCAGGCTAGTGCTAGCGGTGGCTCACTCACCACCGTCGTCTTCTGAGGCAGAAATTGATGTTTTTCAGCCTTTGAAATGCATCGTGTACGTAGAACCAGCCACAGCAAACCTCTGAGAAACTGACGGAGGCAAAGTGGGAAACCTTCAGACGATGAACCCCTGATGGGGACGAGACCAGCGTAGGCAGATGTTTTTACAACATATTAGACACTAGGCACCTGCATGTATGAAAAAAAACACACCTAACCCCAAAACAATTCTAACAAAAGGTTTCTCAGATGTTTTTTGTAGTATTAAGTGTCCTTAATAACATACTAAAGTTTACCAAAGTTTGACCACTAGAAAAGCGTAATTTTTAAGATGGCGTCCATAATGGGCATGAAGCCCATTATTGGACCCAGCCACGTCATGTTGGTGACTAACCCCATGTTTTCTGGGTCTGTGAATAGTAATCCAAAACCCAAACTCTGAGTAAGCCCTCGGTCTGAACTACAACAATCCTAAACCATTTTGGAAACACCTGGACCAGCTTCTGGGTCGGTCCAAAATAAACTAATATTACTGTTAACTCACTGACTGCCAGGCATTTTCAGATTTGAGAAGTGCATTCTGCCAGCAATTTCAGGTGATTTGACCCAACTTTGAAGTGCCACAGAATATTCATTTTTTTAGACGATGTAAACACCAAGGGCACCAAATTAAAGATTCACCTCTCTGCTTTACTCTGAAAAAAACAGTTTGTTTCTACCTCTTACCGTTCTTGCGTTATTCACCATAGAACAAAGCATACTTTCACCCATAACACCTGGTCTGAGCAAGAAAACAGAGGAAACGAGCTGTATGTAAACAGGAACATATCAAGCAGAAAAGAGACTTTTAGATGCATTTTTGCTGCTTTAGTGACAACTCAAAACATCTTCACACTTGTTCCATTACAAAAATTATAAAAACATGACTCTGAAATAATACTTTTGATGGCAAATTGTTGGCAATTTATTCACAGATAGAAAATTTAACTTTCTTCTATACCATCAACCAAAACGTCAAACAACAACAACACAAAGATCAATAAAACTATAGATGTATAAAATAGAATGAAGCATGTGAATTTGAGTGTGTGTGTGTGTGTGAATGTCAGTGTGCGAGTGAGTGTCTGTGTGCGTGCGTGAGTGAGTGAGTGAGTGCGTGTGAGTGTTTGTGAGTGTGTCCGATAAATCATGATCAGGTTTGCTGAACGAATCCGAGGCATCAGTAACAACAGCAGCTGATACGCTGCGAGAGGCGGAAGGTGTGTCTCTGCTCTTGCTCCGCGCAAATGTAGCTGCTGAGACGGACCTCCACCGGGGTCTCCGCTCTCTCCCCTCTCGACCTCACTCACTGATCCGCGAGTCAATCTCTGAAGCAGTGTATACTGCTTATAACTATTCTTTTTCGCCATCACTCTTGCTATACTATCGCTAAACTAGATCGCTGATCCGTCTCAATGCTACAGCAGCACGCTCTCCAAACACTCCCACACTCCTCCTCCTTCTCTCCACTGACTTATGACCTCTCCTGTGGTGCAATACTGCATCCTACTGGTGGTGATTTATCATTACAGGTACATTTGCACTATATATCAGTGTTGTGGGTCATTAACAAGGTGCGCCAGACATTACTGCAGCCTCCCGTGTAATAACACAAAAAAGTCGTCTAAGTCGTCTTGGGCAGTGAGCGTCACTATACAATAGAACGACTTTTGTCGTCATGGGCAGTGAATGAGTTAATAATACTACAATTACTGATCTTAACATAATCTCTGAATGCTTTAATGAATACTTCTCCTCCATAAGTACTACACAGTACTCTGGTCATCCATACTTACCTAATCCACTGAATGACGTTCATGAGACATCATTTTCTTTTAATCAGATTTCACATTTGGATTCCACACAAGCTGTAAACGAGCTTAAAACTAACAGTGCGGCTGGTCCAGCACCTTGGAGTAGACCTTACCGGGGAGGCTGAGGAGTGTGATCCCACGATAATTGGAACACACCCTCCGGTCCCCCTTCTTGTAGAGAGGGACCACCACCCCGGTCTGCCACTCCATTGGCACTGCCCCCGATCGCCACGCGATGTTGCAGAGACGTGTCAGCCAAGACAGTCCTACAACATCCAGAGACTTTAGATAGTCAGGACGGATCTGAACTGTCATAAGTCTGAACTTATGATCTGAACTGTCATAAGTCACAATCTCCGGGCTGCGCCCGGAGATTGTGACCTGCACGCGACGGCACGTGCCCAGACACTGATAAATCCGTGCCGGAGGCACGGAATGGCTTTGCTCCTTCTGTAGTACACAGTGAAATGAATGGGGTCCTATGGGGGGGGTGGGGACCTCATGATGGCGAGGTGATTGACGAGCGCTCATAGGCATTCTAAATACACATTGTCGCTCCCATCAGGGCTGCAGGAAAATGGCGCGAAAGCGCCACCTCGGTTGCGTTGTGCGGCGAGGGCCGTTAGATGCCGCTTGCGGCTTTAATTTATTTATTTCTTTTTTATTCTGCGCTTGAACATGAACCTGAACACTGATGAAAAGTTGTGAAATTTTGCCCTAAATTCAGAACCGGTGAAAAAATTATTTTTTTGGTGTTTATTTTTATGGGACTAATAAAATGCCTGAACAGCGCCCCCTACAAAAGTCAGTTTACATTGCGCCTATGGGAGGGGGTCGAAGGTCAAGTTTGTCGTAGAGCCACGAAATTCGGTACACATGTTCCTCAGGTCAAGACATGAAAAAAATAGTTATTATGGCTCTGCCCCCTGACAAACAGGAAGCTCATTAATTTCAATGGAAAATGGAAAAATGAAAATTGATCTTTTTCACACATGTCGGCTGGAAATTATCTCCTCCTCGGCCGCTTCACAGATTTGTCTCAAAATCGCTCCACATGGTCTAAACCCATGTCCCATCTATTATTGAATATAGAATTTGGATCAGTTCAAAGTTGTCCGAGCAGCGGAGCAGCAAAATGTGACATTTTTTCCCCAATTTTTGACAAAAGTAAATTTGCTCCCGTTTGCACAAAAAAAGTCAGATTTGCACAAAATTTTAATCCATTGTTCAGCTCCAAGGTCTAGGTCATCTGAAAGTGGAAATATTGAAATTGGCTCCCTACAGGCTGAGTAAAGGTTTACATGGAGATACAGGTATTTAGGTTTTCAGTTGTGTGATCTCATATTTGACCCACTGAACAAACATAAAAACTCACCAAACTTTGCCAAAAGTATTTTTCAGGCATAACGTGCATTATTTTGGTGTTCTTTGGTATAAGACTAAAAAATTTTAATTGTAGGGGGCGCTGTTGTACAACATTAAATGCCACCATTTGCACATAAAAGGTCCAATTTGCACAAAATTTGAACTGATTGTTCAACTCTTGGGTTTGGGTAAACTGAAATTGTTAAAGACGAAATTGCAACAATAGCGCCCCCTACAGACTGAGTCAAGTATTACACGGGGAGAATGAGGTTTACCTTTTCAAAGACACACACAATCACTGATCATAGGAATTCAAAATCCACAGTGTCGCTCCCATCAGGGCAGTGGGAAAGTGGCGCGTCAGCGCCACCTGCTTTGCGCGGTGCGGCGAGGGCCGTTAGATGCCGCTTGCGGCTTTAATTTATCATTTGTTATTGTTCATATTTTAAATATTGCTATGTTACATATTTCTGCAGCTGTTGTGGCGCCCCCTGCAGGTCAAAGCCAGATCCTGTCTGAAGCTAAGCAGGGCAGGGCCTGGTTAGTGCTGTGATGGGAGACCTCTGAACAGCAGGTGCCACAGTGGGGCTGCTGCGGCTGTAAAGTGCCAAACTGTGGTTGTGTCCTTAGGCAAGACACTTCCCCCACATTAGAATGAGTCTGGTGTGTGTGTGAATGGTTGGTGGTGGTGGGAGGGGCTTCTGTCAGTGTGCCCCAGGGCAGCTGTGGCTACAGTAGTTTATACCATAGAGCAGTACCATAGAGCAGCACCATAGAGCAGCACCATAGAGCAGTACCATAGAGCAGTACCATAGAGCAGTACCATAGAGCAGTACCATAGAGCAGCACCATAGAGCAGCACCATAGAGCAGTACCATAGAGCAGTACCATAGATCAGTACCATAGATCAGTACTATAGAGCAGTACCATAGAGCAGCACCATAGAGCAGTATTATAGAGCAGCACCATAGAGCAGTACCATAGAGCAGTACCATAGAGCAGCACTATAGAGCAGCACCATAGAGCAGTACCATAGATCAGTACTATAGAGCAGTACCATAGAGCAGCACCATAGAGCAGTATTATAGAGCAGCACCATAGAGCAGTACCATAGAGCAGCACCATAGAGCAGTACCATAGATCAGTACCATAGATCAGTACCATAGAGCAGCACCATAGAGCAGCACCATAGAGCAGTACCATAGAGCAGCACCATAGAGCAGTACCATAGAGCAGTACCATAGAGCAGTACCATAGAGCAGTACCATAGATCAGTACCATAGAGCAGCACCATAGAGCAGTACCATAGAGCAGTACCATAGAGCAGCACCATAGAGCAATACCATAGAGCAGCACCATAGAGCAGTACCTGCTGCTGGATGACCTTAAAAAAATTGAGATATGCGTGTTAATCAGTGGCCCCATTCCAAATGCAGATGGAAAAATGCAGAAGTTTAGCCGTCTGTACCAGTTAAATACATTTCTACACAATGAGTGTTCACGCAGAGGACTTAGATTCATTGAAAACTTTAATCTGTTCTGGAATAGGCACGAGCTTTTTGAAGGGAAAGGCCCACATCTGAACAACTACGGAGTAAAAGTGTTGATGGATAACTTATGATAAAATGATAAAACTGTCCAAGAGATAATCTCCAGTTTGAGCTCCTCCACATGTAGCCTGGATGTACTACCCACTAGATTTCTGAAGTCTGTTCTGAGCAGTCTGTTACCTTCACTCACACAGATAGTAAACATGTCCCTTCATTCTGGAATATTCCCAAAGGCCCTGAAAACTGCAGTCATCAGGCCCCTGCTAAAAAAGAGCAGTCTGGATGCTACGGTACTTAACAACTATCGTCCCATCTCAAATCTGCCATTTATGGGGAAAGTCCTTGAGAAAGTTGTCTACCTACAGCTTACTAGATTTCTTATAATCAACAACTCATTTGATATGTTTCAGTCCGGCTTTAGACCCCACCACAGCACTGAGACTGCTCTCGTTAAGGTTACAAACGATATCCGGCTGAACACTGACGCAGGCAAAGTCTCAATCTTAATCTTGTTAGATCTAAGTGCTGCCTTTGACACCGTCGACCATGAGATCCTCTTACAGAGACTAGAGGACTGGGTTGGCGTCGCTGGCACCGCCCTAAGTTGGTTTAGGTCTTACCTTGAAGACAGGAAGTACTTTGTGGAGATTGGAAACTGTGTCTCAGATCATATGGCCCTGACCTGTGGAGTCCCACAGGGGTCGATCCTGGGACCTCTTCTGTTCAATCTCTACATGCTGCCGTTAGGTCAGTTAATACGCAGAAACAAAGTTTCCTATCATAACTATGCAGACGACACTCAGATCTATGTCTCACTGACTGCAGGAGAACATGGACCAGTGGACTCACTCCTTCACTGTATCCAACAGATCAGTGAGTGGATGCAAAACAACTTCCTTCAGCTAAACGCAGACAAAACTGAAATGATTGTCTTTGGTCCAGAAACAAAGAGAGAGCGTCATCTGTCACCTACAGTCTCTCTCCCTAAAACCTTCAAACAAGGTCAGAAATCTAGGGGTAATACTGGACTCAGACTTAAATTTTAATAGCCACATCAAATCAGTAACATCAGCAGCTTTTTACCATCTAAAAAACATTGCCAGGATCAAAAACATAGTGTCTAAAGCAGACTTGGAGATTCTTATCCATGCATTTGTCTCCAGTAGGTTAGACTACTGCAATGGCCTGCTCACAGGTCTGTCCAAACAGGCTGTAAAACAGCTGCAGTACATTCAAAATGCAGCAGCTCGAGTCCTGACTAGAACCAGGAAGTACGACCACATTAGTCCTGACTAGAACCAGGAAGTACGACCATATTAGTCCTGACTAGAACCAGGAAGTACGACCACATTAGTCCTGACTAGAACCAGGAAGTATGACCATATTAGTCCTGACAAGAACCAGGAAGTACGACCGCATTAGCCCTGACTAGAACCAGGAAGTACGACCACATTAGTCCTGACTAGAACCAGGAAGTACGACCATATTAGTCCTGACTAGAACCAGGAAGTACGACCATATTAGTCCTGACTAGAACCAGGAAGTACGACCACATTAGTCCTGACTAGAACCAGGAAGTACGACCATATTAGTCCTGACTAGAACCAGGAAGTACGACCACATTAGTCCTGACTAGAACCAGGAAGTACGACCACATTAGTCCTGACTAGAACCAGGAAGTACGACCACATTAGTCCTGACTAGAACCAGGAAGTACGACCACATTAGTCCTGACTAGAACCAGGAAGTACGACCATATTAGTCCTGACTAGAACCAGGAAGTACGACCACATTAGTCCTGACTAGAACCAGGAAGTACGACCATATTAGTCCTGACAGAACCAGGAAGTACGACCACATTAGTCCTGACTAGAACCAGGAAGTACGACCACATTAGTCCTGACTAGAACCAGGAAGTACGACCGTATTAGCCCTGACTAGAACCAGGAAGTACGACCACATTAGACCTGACTAGAACCAGGAAGTACGACCATATTAGTCTTAACTAGAACCAGGAAGTACGACCACATTAGTCCTGACTGGAACCAGGAAGTACGACCACATTAGTCCAGTCCTCAGGTCTCTGCACTGGCTTCCTGTGGCTCAGAGAATAGACTTTAAAACAGCTCTGCTTGTTACAAGTCTCTCCATGGCCTCGCACCAAAATATATTAGTGACATGTTAGTCCCATATGAACCAGCCCGGACTCTGAGGAGCACAGGGACTGGCCTCCTGCTGGGACTCTGAGGAGCACAGGGACTGGACTCCTGCTGGGACTTTGAGGAGCACAGGGACTGGCCTCCTGCTGGGACTCTGAGGAGCACAGGGACTGGACTCCTGCTGGGACTCTGAGGAGCACAGGGACTGGACTCCTGCTGGGACTCTGAGGAGCACAGGGACTGGCCTCCTGCTGGGACTCTGAGGAGCACAGGGACTGGCCTCCTGCTGGGACTCTGAGGAGCACAGGGACTGGCCTCCTGCTGGGACTCTGAGGAGCACAGGGACTGGCCTCCTGCTGGGACTCTGAGGAGCACAGGGACTGGACTCCTGCTGGGACTCTGAGGAGCACAGGGACTGGCCTCCTGCTGGGACTCTGAGGAGCACAGGGACTGGACTCCTGCTGGGGCTCTGAGGAGCACAGGGACTGGACTCCTGCTGGGACTCTGAGGAGCACAGGGACTGGACTCCTGCTGGGACTCTGAGGAGCACAGGGACTGGACTCCTGCTGGGACTCTGAGGAGCACAGGGACTGGCCTCCTGCTGGGACTCTGAGGAGCACAGGGACAGGCCTCCTGCTGGGACTCTGAGGAGCACAGGGACTGGACTCCTGCTGGGACTCTGAGGAGCACAGGGACTGGCCTCCTGCTGGGACTCTGAGGAGCACAGGGACTGGACTCCTGCTGGGACTCTGAGGAGCACAGGGACTGGACTCCTGCTGGGACTCTGAGGAGCACAGGGACTGGACTCCTGTTAGTGCCAGAGTCAGAACTAAACATGGGGAGGCTGCTTTTCAGATTCATGCTGCTAAAATCTGGAACAGTCTTCCTGAAGATGAAGACCTCAGGCACCTCAGGCACCGCACGGTGCTCAGGCATCGCGCTGTAGAGGACCAGTCCAAGATGGCGGCCATATTTCTCGTTCCCTAGCGGCGTCTACTCTTTATATGTCTATGGTCCTTGCGCCCCGCCCCTCACAATAGCCCCGCCCCTCGCATAAGCCCGCCCCTCACCTGAGCAGATGACGTTCTCACTGGGTCCAGAGGGACAGGTCTTGGGTCTGGAGCGGGGACAGTCCATCAGAGCAGACTCATGGCCCTCACAGTGGAACGTCTGCCCCAAAGAAGAGAGCTCCCCCTGGAGGACACGAGGAGCATTGCAGCCCAGCTCCCTGCACAGCACCTCTGCTCCCCGCAGGTCCAAGGCCCCTTCACAGACCGAGATCCAGGACTGGCCCCATATCTGTAGTGATCCAGAGCAGACACCAGCGCCTCCAACCAGCCGCACAGAGTCTGAGACAGAGAAGACTTCATCACACTCTGGACACAGAGTCTGAGACAGTGTGTGTGTGTGTGTGTGTGTGTGGAGAAGGATTTAACTCAAGAGTCATAATAACTTTTATTACTAAATAAACACAATATGTTCATGTTCACCACAGGTCGTTATAGTTGTATCAATCCAAAGTTATGATGTCACACAAACCAGATGACATCATGTTAATCCCACTTCTTCACATGGTGTCAAGTCCACATCATTGTTGCTATAGAAACACATTTGTTTTGGGCGGAAATTATGTCTATAATTTTGTCACGTTCATTAAACAATTAATTTGTTGTAGAATCATACATGTCGAACACAGGAAATGTTAATAACAACAAACACACAGAGTCATATATGGCTGTCCTCAGACCCTCCTGCATCAGAGGAACCACAGACACCTGTGACACTGACACAATCACTGTCCTCAGACCCTCCTGCATCAGAGGAACCACAGACACCTGAGACACTGACACAATCACTGTCCTCAGCCCTCCTGCATCAGAGGAACCACAGACACCTGTGACACTGACACAATCACTGTCCTCAGACCCTCGTGCATCAGAGGAACCACAGACACCTGTGACACTGACACAATCACTGTCCTCAGACCCTCCTGCATCAGAGGAACCACAGACACCTGTGACACTGACACAATCACTGTCCTCAGACCCTCCTGCATCAGAGGAACCACAGACACCTGTGACACTGACACAATCACTGTCCTCAGACCTCCTGCATCAGAGGAACCACAGACACCTGTGACACTGACACAATCACTGTCCTCAGACCCTCCTGCATCAGAGGAACCACAGACACCTGTGACACTGACACAATCACTGTCCTCAGACCCTCCTGCATCAGAGGAACCACAGACACCTGTGACACTGACACAATCACTGTCCTCAGACCCTCCTGCATCAGAGGAACCACAGACACCTGTGACACTGACACAATCACTGTCCTCAGACCCTCCTGCATCAGAGGAACCACAGACACCTGTGACACTGACACAATCACTGTCCTCAGACCCTCCTGCATCAGAGGAACCACAGACACCTGTGACACTGACACAATCACTGTCCTCAGACCCTCCTGCATCAGAGGAACCACAGACACCTGTGACACTGACACAATCACTGTCCTCAGACCCTCCTGCATCAGAGGAACCACAGACACCTGTGACACTGACACAATCACTGTCCTCAGACCCTCCTGCATCAGAGGAACCACAGACACCTGTGACACTGACACAATCACTGTCCTCAGACCCTCCTGCATCAGAGGAACCACAGACACCTGAGACACTGACACAATCACTGTCCTCAGACCCTCCTGCATCAGAGGAACCACAGACACCTGTGACACTGACACAATCACTGTCCTCAGACCCTCCTGCATCAGAGGAACCACAGACACCTGTGACACTGACACAATCACTGTCCTCAGACCCTCCTGCATCAGAGGAACCACAGACACCTGAGACACTGACACAATCACTGTCCTCAGACCCTCCTGCATCAGAGGAACCACAGACACCTGTGACACTGACACAATCACTGTCCTCAGACCCTCCTGCATCAGAGGAACCACAGACACCTGTGACACTGACACAATCACTGTCCTCAGACCCTCCTGCATCAGGGAACCACAGACACCTGTGACACTGACACAATCACTGTCCTCAGACCCTCCTGCATCAGAGGAACCACAGACACCTGTGACACTGACACAATCACTGTCCTCAGACCCTCCTGCATCAGAGGAACCACAGACACCTGTGACACTGACACAATCACTGTCCTCAGACCCTCCTGCATCAGAGGAACCACAGACACCTGTGACACTGACACAATCACTGTCCTCAGACCCTCCTGCATCAGAGGAACCACAGACACCTGTGACACTGACACAATCACTGTCCTCAGACCCTCCTGCATCAGAGGAACCACAGACACCTGTGACACTGACACAATCACTGTCCTCAGACCCTCCTGCATCAGAGGAACCACAGACACCTGTGACACTGACACAATCACTGTCCTCAGACCCTCCTGCATCAGAGGAACCACAGACACCTGAGACACTGACACAATCACTGTCCTCAGACCCTCCTGCATCAGAGGAACCACAGACACCTGTGACACTGACACAATCACTGTCCTCAGACCCTCCTGCATCAGAGGAACCACAGACACCTGTGACACTGACACAATCACTGTCCTCAGACCCTCCTGCATCAGAGGAACCACAGACACCTGTGACACTGACACAATCACTGTCCTCAGACCCTCCTGCATCAGAGGAACCACAGACACCTGTGACACTGACACAATCACTGTCCTCAGACCCTCCTGCATCAGAGGAACCACAGACACCTGTGACACTGACACAATCACTGTCCTCAGACCCTCCTGCATCAGAGGAACCACAGACACCTGTGACACTGACACAATCACTGTCCTCAGACCCTCCTGCATCAGAGGAACCACAGACACCTGTGACACTGACACAATCACTGTCCTCAGACCCTCCTGCATCAGAGGAACCACAGACACCTGTGACACTGACACAATCACTGTCCTCAGACCCTCCTGCATCAGAGGAACCACAGACACCTGTGACACTGACACAATCACTGTCCTCAGACCCTCCTGCATCAGAGGAACCACAGACACCTGTGACACTGACACAATCACTGTCCTCAGACCCTCCTGCATCAGAGGAACCACAGACACCTGTGACACTGACACAATCACTGTCCTCAGACCCTCCTGCATCAGAGGAACCACAGACACCTGTGACACTGACACAATCACTGTCCTCAGACCCTCCTGCATCAGAGGAACCACAGACACCTGTGACACTGACACAATCACTGTCCTCAGACCCTCCTGCATCAGAGGAACCACAGACACCTGTGACACTGACACAATCACTGTCCTCAGACCCTCCTGCATCAGAGGAACCACAGACACCTGTGACACTGACACAATCACTGTCCTCAGACCCTCCTGCATCAGAGGAACCACAGACACCTGTGACACTGACACAATCACTGTCCTCAGACCCTCCTGCATCAGAGGAACCACAGACACCTGTGACACTGACACAATCACTGTCCTCAGACCCTCCTGCATCAGAGGAACCACAGACACCTGTGACACTGACACAATCACTGTCCTCAGACCCTCCTGCATCAGAGGAACCACAGACACCTGTGACACTGACACAATCACTGTCCTCAGACCCTCCTGCATCAGAGGAACCACAGACACCTGTGACACTGACACAATCACTGTCCTCAGACCCTCCTGCATCAGAGGAACCACAGACACCTGTGACACTGACACAATCACTGTCCTCAGACCCTCCTGCATCAGAGGAACCACAGACACCTGTGACACTGACACAATCACTGTCCTCAGACCCTCCTGCATCAGAGGAACCACAGACACCTGTGACACTGACACAATCACTGTCCTCAGACCCTCCTGCATCAGAGGAACCACAGACACCTGTGACACTGACACAATCACTGTCCTCAGACCCTCCTGCATCAGAGGAACCACAGACACCTGTGACACTGACACAATCACTGTCCTCAGACCCTCCTGCATCAGAGGAACCACAGACACCTGTGACACTGACACAATCACTGTCCTCAGACCCTCCTGCATCAGAGGAACCACAGACACCTGTGACACTGACACAATCACTGTCCTCAGACCCTCCTGCATCAGAGGAACCACAGACACCTGTGACACTGACACAATCACTGTCCTCAGACCCTCCTGCATCAGAGGAACCACAGACACCTGTGACACTGACACAATCACTGTCCTCAGACCCTCCTGCATCAGAGGAACCACAGACACCTGTGACACTGACACAATCACTGTCCTCAGACCCTCCTGCATCAGAGGAACCACAGACACCTGTGACACTGACACAATCACTGTCCTCAGACCCTCCTGCATCAGAGGAACCACAGACACCTGTGACACTGACACAATCACTGTCCTCAGACCCTCCTGCATCAGAGGAACCACAGACACCTGTGACACTGACACAATCACTGTCCTCAGACCCTCCTGCATCAGAGGAACCACAGACACCTGTGACACTGACACAATCACTGTCCTCAGACCCTCCTGCATCAGAGGAACCACAGACACCTGTGACACTGACACAATCACTGTCCTCAGACCCTCCTGCATCAGAGGAACCACAGACACCTGTGACACTGACACAATCACTGTCCTCAGACCCTCCTGCATCAGAGGAACCACAGACACCTGTGACACTGACACAATCACTGTCCTCAGACCCTCCTGCATCAGAGGAACCACAGACACCTGTGACACTGACACAATCACTGTCCTCAGACCCTCCTGCATCAGAGGAACCACAGACACCTGTGACACTGACACAATCACTGTCCTCAGACCCTCCTGCATCAGAGGAACCACAGACACCTGTGACACTGACACAATCACTGTCCTCAGACCCTCCTGCATCAGAGGAACCACAGACACCTGTGACACTGACACAATCACTGTCCTCAGACCCTCCTGCATCAGAGGAACCACAGACACCTGTGACACTGACACAATCACTGTCCTCAGACCCTCCTGCATCAGAGGAACCACAGACACCTGTGACACTGACACAATCACTGTCCTCAGACCCTCCTGCATCAGAGGAACCACAGACACCTGTGACACTGACACAATCACTGTCCTCAGACCCTCCTGCATCAGAGGAACCACAGACACCTGTGACACTGACACAATCACTGTCCTCAGACCCTCCTGCATCAGAGGAACCACAGACACCTGTGACACTGACACAATCACTGTCCTCAGACCCTCCTGCATCAGAGGAACCACAGACACCTGTGACACTGACACAATCACTGTCCTCAGACCCTCCTGCATCAGAGGAACCACAGACACCTGTGACACTGACACAATCACTGTCCTCAGACCCTCCTGCATCAGAGGAACCACAGACACC